TCAGTGCGCTTTGAAAGTCAGGTTCGGCAAAAACTGGGTTGGAGGTAGTGGTGGTTTAAGGGAAATTTGTGGCGTCGTTCCACTCATCCTTGGGACCTCCCCCGAGGATGTTTCCTTGTGGCGTGCCCGCGGCCGTTTTCATATGGAAATTAGTGGCCGCGGGGTCGGTCGTCCGTGGTCCACCATCTTTTGTCCGTGTGGAGGCGGCGTGGTCCAGCGACGTGTGGCGGGAAACGGCATAAGGCGGGCGACGGGAAAAAATTTAACCCGGGGGGCGTGGACGTTTGAAATTCGAATTTTGAATGACGGCTGCGACGACGACGACGACATGTGGCTGGCGGCGCGAAGACGGCATACTGCTGAAACGGGCTCAGCGGCGGCGTCCCTTCCATCCCTCGGCCGTTGTGAGTGCGCGGGCATCGTCGGGTGCGTCCATCGCCGTCGACCTTCTTCCACGTCGACTGCGCCGTCAAACACATTTCCGTCGGCAGGACTGCATCCAGAGAAAAGGGGCCAGCTTTCGACGGATGTCTTCGTCTTCTTCGTTGGGTGTGTAAGGACGACACACACGGCAGCGGAGCGACGGGTCCGTCTCCAGGTCGCGGATATGGAGGGCGGCGGGGAGGGTGGACGTGCGGTGTTGACGCCACTTGAGCTACAGGCTGTGGCGGCCCCCGCGCCTGCCGGCATCCGAACCCCCCCCCGGCGCCCCCGTGTCCGCCAAATTCTTTGGGTGGATCGTGTCATCCCCCTTCGTCATGGCCTCCATCTCCTCGTACACGCTCCGGTCCATGACGAAGTTGAAGCCCTCCGATCTCCTGGCTAATGAAGCAAGCTTGAAGTAGTCCTTCCCGCCGGAGAGGCGCTGAAACTTGTGAACCTTCTTGAATTGCTGCATTAAGTTGTCCCATTTCTTCCCGCAGTCGATGGCCTTCCTTGTGATGCCCATCTTCTGCAACCTCGACCGCACGTCCTCCCACTTCCATTCCCTGGTCTTCATGCGGCCGAAATTGTGCCCCATGCCTGCGAAATACAGATCTTGATCCCTTTTCGCCTCATGAGTGCGATCGTGTCTCCGACCAACCAGAAGTTTTGGGCGCCCTCGCCATTGCTCCCGCCTGTGTCGTCGTCCATTTACTTATTCCTCCGATTTCTCGGAGTGGAACCCTTCTTCCCACTCGCACCGCCGCTCCTCACCTTCCTCCCAAGGGGCCGAATCTCAGGCAAATCGTCGGTGTCGCAATCCTCGTCACCGTCAACGTCGTTGCAGTCGAGGGGCTCCTGAACGGCCGCATCGTCGCCTTCGTCGACGTGGAGCCCTTGCACCCCTCTCGTTAGTGTCCATTCCAGCTTGACGCAAGGCCTGCCTGCACGCAGCCCGCAGCTGCCTGCCGTGGCGTTCTACATGTGCACCTCCTGCGGACGCGTCCTCCTGTCGTTGCCGTCCACACGGAGTCCCGGATGCGCTTCGCGGCACAGGTGATAAGCGTATCCATTCCGGATGTTGATCCACACCGCCTCCTCCTCTGCCCTGGGTCGAGGACACATTTCGATTCCCGCCGCCCTCGCGGAGCGATTGAGGTAGCCCACCGTCTCGCGGCCCGCACGGACCAACCATCGTCTGCTCCGCGCAATCCCCATCTGGGTGGGGATTGATAATGCGAGTATGTGTCGCCGCTGCTCCGCTGCTGCTCGACAACTGGAAGCTCAGATCCACCGCTGCATTGCCATCGTCGTCGCACAGGCCCTCGTTCAGCAGTGACGTGTAAGACCACGGGGTCTCCGCCCGCCTGCCACCGTAGGACTGCGTCGCCGCCCAATCCTGCATGGAACCACTTCCCAAGGGCACAGTCGACGACCTGACGTCTTCCCCCTCGTCATCCGACGGCGGCAGAGGAATCTCATGCAAAGGCAGGTGAGCATACAACGTCGGTTCGTACGCTTGCTTGGCCACAGACCCCGCAGTGCGTTGGCGATTGCTCGCTCCTGCTGTCGTGCCTGCTAGTCTGCCGTTGGTCAGTCGTCGATCCATCCTGTCGCCGTTCTTGGAAGATCTCCTTTTGCGAGCCGCGACCGGGAGCAGGCCGATGAAACACACGTGGAAGAAGACAAGGATGACAAGCAGCACGAAGACGAGGAGTAGCAGAGGCAGCCTGTGCAGCAGGTCGGCCATGTAAGGGCCGTGGAAAGGGCAGCAACTTCACGTCAGTGGTCGACTGTCCAGCGAAGAACTCCGTCGAGAGAAGAAAAATCAAGGGAAGATCTGTGCTCCGACGTGCAAGGTGTGACGACAACCGACGAAAACCATGATCTTCCAAAATGAAACTGTCGTCGTCGAACACAGTGCCGGCGCGGAAAAGCATTCGAATTTCCGACCGTTGTCGACGATCTCCCAGCGCGGTAGACCGCATGACACCGGCCGGCGACGGCCGATTCGTCGGCCGGAGGCCTCATGCGGACGGTGACCGTTTGGAGCCGTTGGGGTGCCGCCCAGACGGTGGGAGGGCAGGGATGTCCGTGCTCCCGTTCGGCGGACCACGTCTGGACCACCCTCAAACTGAAACTGTGCGTCGACGCATGCCTTCGCCATCCGAATTTCGCGGTTCCTTGTGCTCCGAGGGTCCTCGGGAAGTCCCTTGGGGATTAGGAGAAATTGGCTGTAGCCACAAGGACGCCACAAGGAAATTTCCTTGTGCTGTTTTCACTTTTTTTTTGGCAAATTGTCCCCGAGGACAGGTGGAACGAGCACTTCCTTGTGGATTTCGGGTTCCCAAGGAGTGTCTAACGAGGCCCTTAGCCTCCTAGTAATTTTGGAGGCCATGGACCGTCTATAAAATGAATCGGCGGTTCATGGCCTCCTAATTTTTAGGAGAGGCTCGAGCTGCTTTTTCGGATGTACTGGTGGGTTACGAGAATCATCGAACAGCTCAGTAAACAGCTGGGAAAAAAATAAAAAATAAAAAAATCATCATTTGCTGCATGCATGCACCGGACCACATTTGCACAAAAATGAACTTGTCGCCACAGGAAAGTTTCGGGGCTCGGGGAAGGCCCCGTAGTGCGACGGGGGAGGAAGAGGTGGGACCAGTCAGAAAGGGCGAATGGACTGTTGCTTTTCCCGCTGGTTCAGTCCTGTCTCTTATACACATCTAGATGTGTATAAGAGACAGTGCATGCACCGGACCACATTTGCACAAAAATGAACTTGTCGCCACAGGAAAGTTTCGGGGCTCGGGGAAGGCCCCGTAGTGCGACGGGGGAGGAAGAGGTGGGACCAGTCAGAAAGGGCGAATGGACTGTTGCTTTTCCCGCTGGTTCAGTCCGTGCATGTGAAAACACGTGATCGGACGAGATGAACTCAGCTGCAGGGGAAAGAAAAGAAGAAAAAAAAGACCCTGAGAAGTTGAGAACCCCCAAAGTACATAATGACAAAACGCCCGCCACATGGTGGGAATGCAGTATAGGAGGGCAGAAAGCCCTTGAACTTGAGGAAAACGGGCAGAAATGCCCGCCATGAGGAAAGTTTGCAGTGATTCATGATTTGGTTTTTCTTTTTCCATTCCTCTGAATCTGCACCCAGTCCCTGTCTGGATACGGGCGCAGAAAAGTAAAGTGCTTGTGCCTTGTCGACGTGCCAAAAAGAAAGGAATTACCGGAAAGAAAAAAAGAACTGACTTATGGGTGACTGCAGACTGAAGATTACATGGGAACCCGAATCTGTATCGGGCACAGGCAGTGTGCCTGCCAAAAAGAAAGGAATTACCGGAAAGAAAAAAAGAACTGACTTATGGGTGACTGCGGGCTGAAGATTACATGGGAACCCGAATCTGTATCGGGCACAGGCAGTGTGCCATATTCAGTTGCACTGTGAATGGCTTGGTGGAGCGTTTGGCAGGAGAGAGCTCTCAGAAGACCACCGAGGTGCCCTGAATTTATATTATTATTATTATTATTATTATTATTATTATGCACTGTGAATGGCTTGGCGGAGCGTTTGGCAGGAGAGAGCTCTCAGAAGACAACCGCGGTGCCCTGAATTTATATTATTATTATTATTATTATTTTATTATTATTATTATTATTTTATTATTATTATTATTATTTGGGTACAATGTGCCCTGAGTCTTGCAGAACGGATCTCGTGTGGAGCAAAAACGGTCCTCTGTTTTTCGTTATGATCAACTATAATAATAGTATAATTCATAATCACGCACCTGCATCTGGCAGCTGAAATGTGCTAGATGCAGGTGCTCTCTCCTGTGGCCGTTCCCCTGGGTGTCAACGAGTGAAAACACCGGCCTTTTTTTCGTTTCATCTTCTGGCAGCGGGTCCAGCACAGAGGCTGGAACCGTATGGCCCTCAAATTTCCACGCGGTGGTACAGGTCGCTTTCAGGCTCGGCGGAATTTGAAATTCAGGCTCGGCAAAATTCAAAATTCAGGCTCGGCGAAATTCGGAATTCAGGCTCATACATTTACGCTCGGGTGTACTTCGTCACACCCATACACCCTCAAAACGAAATTTTCTTTTAAATAAAAAATGGGAAGGGGGAAGAACACCCCTACCACCATACAATGGGAAGAAAAAGGAGAAATGGTAAAAAGTTACTAAAAACAAAGAAAAGAAACTTCAAATTTTGGCATTTGAACACCATGGGCCAGAGGAGGGGGGGAGGGGGGGGGCTGAACGTGCGGGCCGAACCTGAACGCCGGCCACCCTGTATGTGACAATATACAAATATTAAAAATAAAAAACATATATCGGCATAGAGAGCTGCGTGGTGAACCGTAGCCAGAGAGGGAGAAGAGGACAAATTATTTACTGGTGTACCTTATAATTTTTAATCTAGGCTACTTGGCTGGCCCGGCCGTGCAGCGTGGGCAAGTCTCCTGGAGGTGGCCTGCATGAGGCACCCCGTGCAGGCAAAAATCAGACTTTTTTTTTTTTTTAATTTTTTGGGTGAAGGTTTTCTGTGCATGGCCAGAGGAGCCTAAATCTGGGCTCCTTTCCTTTTTTGAGTGTTGGCTGTCAAAAGAGGGAGGGGGGTGGGGTAGGGGGGTATAATTGGTTCTTGAGGGGCTAAAGGGGTTTAAAGGGGGGGGTACCTTAGTCTGATTCTGTTGTTTTCATTTTTATGTTGGATTCCATGAGGAATTCTGATGTGACCCTCAGCCAAAAGTCGTTTGTATCGTAATTCTACGCAATTTTTTTTTTGTTTGTTTTTCTGTGTGTGTGTGTGTGTGTGTGTGTGTGTGTTTTTTTTTTTTTTTTTTTTTTTTTTTTTTTTTTTAAGGTGCCGGGGCTCCCTGGAACCCAGCTCGGGCACCCGGGCGTTTATCCAGCCACAAGTGGGTTTCTCAGGCGCCCGGACAAACTGCCTCGATTTTAACTATTTATCATACTTGCGGCGCACTTAACCGGTGCGCCGTGCGCTGTGCTCACGGGTGATGTGTGCGCACGTGCGCAAGGCGCGCACTGAGCGCGCACTGGCAGTGCGCTGTAGTGCGGCTGAGTGACCCCCATGCCCGCGCACCTGCGGATGTGCCTTTCTTTTTTTTTTTTTTTGTGTGTGTGTGTGTTTGTGTGTG